CTTCGAAATAAATTCTGTGCCCACTGCTGACTTCATCAAAACCAACCCAGCGGCCGATCTTTCCGCGTCCGCCTAATTTGGAGTCCTTCGCGTCGTGGACCCACACCTTCGCACCGAACTCCGGGAGGCGTCGTAGGTCGGGTTTCTTGCCATACACCATTTCGTATGGTGTTTTGTTGTCCAGCGCGCGTGTTGAAGTCCGATTTTTCAGGTAAATTGCGTGTGCCACGGCTTCACCCCACAAAAATTTTGGAAGACCGCTGGCATGTAGCATTGCGCGGACGCGTTCCAGGACCGTGCGATTGAGGCGTTCTGCGACGCCGTTGTGCTCCGGGGTGTCGTGCACGGTGAAACTTCGCTCGGTTCCCATTTTGGCAAGGTGCGCGTCGAACTCGTTGCGCCAAAATTCCCCTCCGCGATCGGAGTGGAATTTCTTGATCTTGACACCGAATTGAACCAGGAGCCACGCTTCGTATGCCTGGTATGAGTCGAAGGTCGCGTCCTTCGTCCGCTGCAAGTATAGGCGGGACCAGCGCGTGCAATCATCCGTGAAACTCGCGTAGTACTCACGACGGTTGATTGTCTCTGTCGGCGCGGGCCCCCAGAGGTCCGAGTGGATCATGTCACCCATTGCGGCAGCACGCTTCTCTTTGCGGACCTTCGCAACGGGTTTGCGCATTGTTTTGGCGTACCGGCACGAGTCACAGGACTCAATACTTGTTGATTCGTCCAACTTGATGCCAGTCACCAAGCCGTCTTTAACAAGACGCTTGGCTGCTTCCGGCGAGATGTGTCCCATCCGGCGGTGCAAGTCCTCGATGGAGACGGTCTCGACGGCGCTTGCGGCGATTTCCGGAGTTGCATTATTCTGAACGCGGTACGTGCCGTTCTTCTTCTTCACCATTCCCAAGAGTTTCTTTTTCTGATCGAAAATCCTGCAGACGTGAACTATTCTCTTCTTTGCGACATAGCAAAGGAAATTTGGGACAATGTGAGCGCAGGGACCCTTTTTTCAAATACTTCTGTGACTTTCCTCTTACTCAGAATCTCATTTGGGAACGGTCAAAAATTCCTAACGTCGAAAATTTTCCGAGTCAGTTTTATTGTCACGTGCCATTTCTAATGGCACTTTCCCCTACTACACCACCAATCGAGAATTTTATTTGGCCGACGTTGGTTTTTGATGTTTAATCGAGAATTCTCGTAATATCTCCATGGCGTCCAGTAAACATTGTGCAGACATTTCGGTGAGATATGTCGGACAGACATTAGTCCGACCAGTCCGTGATGTCTGGTTGATATGCATGATGCTGAAAACATTTGCGCGCACATCAAACAAAGGCCGGGTTTTAACCTGCATATTTTCCATCCTGCGGACAGATTCATTGAGCATGCATGTTCAAGCTACTCAGCTCCAGATGCTCCGTCCATCTCCCCCAAGTTGCCAAATTCTCGCGCAAGCGTGGGGAGCCATCAATTGAGGGTCGGTGCCCACCGTCGGATCAGACGCTGATCCCATCTTTTGGTTGATCGTGTCATTCGCTGTCATTCACTTTTTTCCTCCCGCACCATGTCACCCTCTCCAAAGACACTTCTTCAAGACCATCCCCTTCAAGAGCCTCTCTTTCCCGTGCCGTGGCTGGCCCACTCTAAGCCGCCAGTCCACTCCAAGTCTATCTCAAGTCCATCGGGATCTGGTGTCAAGTCGTCAAGACTCAAGTCACTCAAGCCGTCAAGACTCAAGCTGCCATGGCCAAGCTCCAAGACTCAAGCTCCTTGACCCTCTGCTCTCTCGGGTATTTCCTGGTGTTCTTTCCCCCAAGGCTCAAGTTGGATGCGGCAATACAATCTGAACACGCCGCGGTTTTTTCCTTTCTATTTTCTTCTACTTTCTTATCGTAGTTTCGTCGCTTGTGACGTCCACCATGTACATAGTTGTGAATGAATATGTTTTTGTTTCATTTTTGAAAAGCATTTATAAAGTTGTAAAGAAATTTAAAAACTATTTCAAAGTGTGTTCATACAATATCATCTCGATGTCCCACCAATGTCCACTTGTCAGTGGGACATCTGAAGATTTGACTGTTTTTGTCTGACGCACCTCTTTCCGATGTCAGGACGACATTTGATCTGAAATGTTGTACAAATGTTTGATCCGAACGGCGGTGTACTAAGTTCTCCCAGTCCCTACGTTCGAGTAACCTTTATATTTTTTCTTTCTTTTTCAGTTTTGCTCCGATTGGCCTCAAATAACTTCCACACTACTACTGTGTCTTGTCACTCAACGTAGGGACTGGTTACGAGTCTAACACAAGTGCCCTGCGTAAGGAGGACACTGTAGAAGTAGGTGTACTGGTGAGCTCGGCCAATCCAAAGAGTTTGACGCACCTCAGAATTGGTGACAACAGAACTGGCAGGCAAAAGTGGCTGATCCGCACCGTCCCGACCCTTCTTCCAGGCGCTAAGATTGGTGGAACCAGATCCCAATCCCCCCTCCATGAGCTGAGCAGTCTCACGAAGCGATGTCAGCTCTGCAGTGATCGCTTTCACCCACTCCGCACGGTCAGGGCGACGCATGGCCTCTCGCCATGTGTCAGTTTCAACTTCAACTACTACTATCTCTCCCTGAAAATCAGTGCACTCAGGGCCTCCTTTGGAACCTCTTTGATTGTTTGACATAATCATTGCATCTCGAGCGCGTTGAACGCGTTGAACACGTCGATGCGGGTGAGGTGTGTGGTGACTAGAGTGAATCAGACTGATTCTCCTTGTCAGATGTGATTCGTGGCCTTTGGAGCTGCTGTGCATGAGAAACTTGGTTCTCTAAGTAACAGACCACATTTTTTGTGAATCCCAGTGCTTTGGCACTGTCATGTGTTGCTGAACGCGTCGGTAGGTTGAGAAGTGAGACTTTTCAGCGTGATCTAGATGATTATATTATCCATAAATTCCTTTTCAGGACGCATATCTCCAGAGGTCGACGAGAGCTCCCACACACCACAGAATGACCCCAAAAAAATCTCCAGAAATTTTTAAAACAGTGAATATAGGTAATTTTGGAAGCAGAATTTTGATATCTGGTTGGACACATCAGTAGGTCAAGAAATGAGACTTTTCGACGCGATTAAGCTGATTATATAATCCAAATTTTCCTATTCAAGACACATATCTCCGGAGGTCAACGAGAGCTTCCACACATCCCGGAATACCTCGGAGAAATTGTCAGAGACTTTCTAAACAGTGAATAGAGGTATTCTGGTAAGCAGAATTTTAATATTGGCTCGCGACCAATCTCCTTGACCGCTGGCGCCGACCCTCGACCAAATCTCAATGGTCAAGGGTTCACACGTATGAGAAAATTCGAGCCACGTCGCAGTGGCTATCTCCTTGAACGCTGGCGCCGACCCTTGACCGAATTTTAATGATTAAGGGTTCACACGCATGTGAAGATTGAGTCACGTCTCAGTGACAGCTCTGAAAATGCCGACCATCTCTCAATGGTGTAGCCAACCAAATATCATTGGCTGCTGGAGTCTCCAACCACAACTGATTGGTCGAAGGGAGAGTGTTATGAAAGAAGAGAAAATGTACTTCCCTACTGAGAGAGCATCTGATTTAAAACCAGGAACAACTGGGTTCAACACCTTCTTCGGGGAATGAGCGGACGCAGCGATAACACGAGCTCTTTCAATCTCGTCGGGGTCAGAAAACAGAATCTGAGGTGAATTGTTTCTGAGGGCCCGAAGGCGAGATTCAAGAGCCGCGATCTCGGATAGGTGTTCGGTGGTGGGGTCCCGAGTTGGTCGGTTGCCAGAATGTTCCGTCGTTTGGTTGCTAGTGGGCAGTGGACCAATGAAGAACGAACTCGTGGAATATTTCCGGCTCACCACCGCATCCGAACTATTCAGCGATGATATTGACCCACTCCAGTTGTGGTACAGCCCTCGTAAAAAATTCCCCAACCGTATTCGACAAAGGAAACGCAAACGACTTCGTCGAAAGCGCTTTTGGTCAGCTGGAGTCATGGATATTATAACTTTTAACCAGCATGATAAATGGAAGCGATTTGGCCTCCAGCTTTATGTTGGTCTTGATCCATTCCCAGGCGGAATTGCTTGGCTGAAGATCTGGTGGATCAAAATTCAAAGCTTATCACCACCTATTTTTTGGAAGTTTGTCGGTCCGTTGGTGGTATGTCTCTTCTGATGAGACGTCTTATGTCTTATGTTATATCTTGTGACTCTGCAGGCATACCTCTCATAACTCAAAGCGATCTTGACTCTGAGAACAATGGCATCGCTAATTGTCATACAGTGACCCGACAGCGCCTGGATCCGTCTCTGAATGGCACCCTTCAGCATCGCTGGACGAGCAAGACTGGAATGTCAAGCCGGAGGCATGCTGGTCTCAGTTGCGGTGCAACTGGACTCCTGGTTTTGTGGACAGTGGTGTGAATGAGAACTTGTATGACCGGAATAATCCATTGCAAAGGTCTGATACTTGCTCTAGCGACGATATGTATGGCTCACCTTCCAAGTCTTCCAGGCTAGAGCACTTCTGAGAATATCATGACGTGCAGATTCGCATTGACAATATTCACCTTTCAACCATCTTATCAAGTGAAGTTAGTCAGGATGGTCAATGTCAGAAAAGAAACAATATAACACAACCTTAATTTCCTTTCAAACACGGTCCTGGCAGGATCCGGATGTTGTGGCGAAACTTGGCCATGCAATCGGAAGTGACGGAAGATACCCCACATCGGTTCATCGTAAACTATCTATTTCCTCGAAGATCTAGCCTTCTACGCTTGCGGCTTGCTCATTTTACTCTGGAATATAATTGTAACTACTCCTGTGCACGGGTCTTGGCGACAGCTGGTCCAAAACTGGTGCGGGGCTCCCGTCAAAACACTCACTGGCAGTACGTTGGGGCGCAGAAATATGACTGACATCTTCCAAGGACGGCAAGAAAGCAAACTCCTGCTTAAGGTTCCTCAAGACCTAATTGCGAAGCTCGTATCGCGTCCGCATCATATAGCAGTTTCACGTGTTCTGTGGAAGTCCCTGGTTCAATCCCAGGTTAGGTCGTGACCCATCGGTTTGATTTCTTTTTGATCGCTATTTGCTCTCAGCTCTCTGCATCACTCCTATCCCCTCACCGAACTATTCCTTCTCGTAGTCCTTTCACTCTCCATCCAAATTACAGCACCACTTGAAGAGCTGATGTTACAGCTGTTTGCGGAACTTAGGGGGCGGGCAGAATATATATATTTTTCCAATTTTGAATATTTTTGATCGTTTTGCATTACTCTGTAATACCCCATAGGTTTTTGGCCTCCACCAGGTCGGTTACATAGTAAAATCCCATAACTCTCTGATAGCCAACAGCACACGCGACGGTACTGGTTGGATACTTGCCGGTGTCCAAGCTCACATGTTTCACGGACGATGCTCGTTCGCTCGCGGGTTACCGTCTCTTCCACCACTGTATGTCCCTCGTCCTCAAGCCCTTGATTGCAGCGGGAAAGAAGGGGGTGGAGATGGTGTGCTCCGATGGCTTCATCCGCCGTGTCTTCCCAATTCTGGCTGCGTACGTTGCCGGCTACCCCGAGCAGTGCTTGGTGGCGTGCTGCAAAGAGAACAGATGTCCGAAATGTGTCGTGGATCCAAACGACCGAGGAAAGCGACTTGAATCCATTCTTCGCGACGAAGAAACTACCCTGCGCTAGCAGATCACCGAAACCGCAAGACGTCGACGTCAGAACAATTTGAGGCGGACGGGATCCGACCTGTGTACACACCTTTCTGGGCCGACCTTCCCTACACCGACATCTTTGGCTGTTTCACGCCCGACCTCCTACACCAGCTTCAC